CAAAACCGATTTGTGAATTGATGAGCCGAAAACGAAGAATTTTTCAGATTGAAGGATTGCATCTAGCCTTACTAACTTTGCTTATCTAATATTCGATCAAATTCAATCGATTTTATTTAAAGTAAATATAAATATGCAATTGATATTCAGTCACTTGAATGAATATTTGTCTTCTCTTGTTTTCTCTTTCTCATGATTTTTATAGAATAAACAAAAATATCTCTACTCGCAAAAAGAAATTCGAACATATATCAACAAAGTATTTGAAATGAAATTTTATGCCAAAAGGAAAAACGATCTATGACGCATAAAATAAAAAAAACTTGACATATCACTAACCGCTATTATTTATTTTTTTCCGAACTAAACACAAAAAAATATTTGAATAGTGTTAATGCTTGGTTGATCATACAAAAATAAAACCTGAAGAAAACTAGATGGTATTCGAGTTTCGACTCGAATACGAAATGCGGTGCGAAGCACAAATTCTCAGTCATCGAAAACTCTAACGAATACCAAATAACAAAAAGAATTTAAGAAAAGTTTTCATTGAAAACTGCATTTTTATAGAAGAAAATGAATAAATAAATACATTGACGATTTTCAATAAAATGATTTATTTCTTGTAGATATATGTTTGAATTTTTTTGACAATCTTTTAGATGTTGTTATTAGATCTTATAGAAATTTATAAAGTAATGGCTAAAAAGAAATTTCAAATGATATATTGTTGAACAGATAATTGAAATGATAAAAATAAAATGGCTATTTTAGTTTTTATTCCTTGAATTGAAAAAACATGCACATAGTAATTTGAATAAAGAAAATTTATTTGATTATATTTAAAGATAATTGTTAGCTCTATCAATAGATTTATATTCTGGAGACAAGATTTCACTTTGTTTATTTATTAAATAATCAGCATTAGTTATAATAATGATATTGTGAGAAGTCTTTCTAACTTTAATTTAAATAGTTAAATGGATCACTCTTTATCAGTCATGATCAATATAACATAAATCAAGAGTCTAAAATCAAGTGTTTTAGTTAATATTTTTCGATGATTTGTAACTATCTATTTGAAAACTTCTGTCAAAATTATTCTAATAAAAGGATGTTTTTTTTTCTCTTTTAAAGAGTTTTGTTAATTTTAGATTTGAATTATTAATCTCAATGTTATCTTATATCATATAAATACGGTTTGGTCCCACTTCATCGAAAAAATAAGACTAATTGGCTATTTTTCTCACTTCATCGAAACTTTCTATTCAATAGTATTTATTTACACACAAATAATTTGATTACAGAAATTAAGAAGAAGACAAACAAGAAATGATGAGAACATAAATAGGTCCTATATCAAACAATAAACATTTTCTACCTTTAGTAGTTTCAATAATCAAAAACATCTTGATTTGAATACATATGTTACATTCACAGCACATGTATTTATATGTTTTTGTAGACAAAAAAACAGAAAAAAACAAAGAAATCAATGGAAACAAAGACATTATGTTTCTTTTAGTATATTCTACAAGACTAATCTCATATGTGAAGAACAATCATGTTTACTAATAGAAAGCGTTTATATGCCCTTTATGTTGATGATAACACTTATTTTTTAAATTGTTGAATAGTATCACCATGCTCTACTCAATATCTTTCTCCAACAGAATATTCTTTCATTAATATTCGAAAACTGTTCATTAAAAAATTTGTCGATGAAATGGACTAATTAGGGAAGTGTCGATGAAACGGGAATATACCTATAAATACTTAGCAATTCTTATAGAATATTAAAGTAATTGTCACGCTTTTCGTTGACAATAATAAAATAAATATCTGAAAATATTCTATTTCAATTTTGTGATAAATGAACGAAAAAGAATAGTTTTCTGAAAAGTAAGAAACATTTATTAAAATAATAAATAAATAACAATTATATATAATGATTTAAAAATATGTTCATCTTATATAAAATAATATTTAAACGATGTCATTAGTCATCGATTGAAATCAAATCTAATATATTTATATTGGAATATATATTTAATATTTTCTTTAAAATATTTTTTTTTAATTTCGAAAAAATTCAAAAAGAAAATTTGTGTGAAAGATAAAAAATGGATTTGGTTTTAAGAAGATCATTAGAAACGAACCGATAGAAACATTTATTTGATCTATTAATCTAAGTTTTTTTGATTTAAATCAATGTCTATCATTGTTTTCTATTATTTTAGAAAAAAAAAGAAAGCAAAATGTCAAATAATGATGATGAATCAGTTGAAATGTTACATTCAAAACTATCGCTTGATTTAATACGGATATGGAAACAAACTTAGATGCATGATGCTCATATGAACATATTCTTAAACATTATGCGTTAGAAGGAGATCAATTAGATTGGTCAGCTGTGTCAGTATATGTATCATGTAGACGATATCTTCATATAACAACAAATGATAATAATGAAATAGAGATATCACATTTATTAAAAAGTGCTAATGATTTAGAATTGTTCTTTTTTTTGTTGATAAATTAGATAAATAGGAAGATATGACCAATTTATTTGATTGAATTCGATCAAAATTTGATCAAGTTGAAAATGCATTTAATATATCATGAAATACATTTGAAAAATATACAAAAATATTCATTGATATATTTGATGGAACTTAATATATATTAATTTATTTTGATTACCAATATAAAAGAATATCAAATGAAATAAATCCTAAATTAAATTAAAAAAAAATAAATTAGATAAATGTTCACTTGAAGAGATTCATATTCATTTATTTTAGGAAATATATTTATTCAATGTCGATCAGTTACATTCATCATCAAATCCGGTAGGTTCTATTTCAAATATAAAATTCTCTTCAAAAAATTATTTTTATAGGACAATCTTGTTGTTATTGTACATGGATTTGCATCAGCTCGAGCTGTTGCATCGAATTTACTTTTTTTTTTTTTTATTAGTCTATGTTTAATTCGACTGAAATTGATCGATGTTCAATACATTTTAAATTTACTCGTAAAGAATTCTTAATGATTTTCTATAAAATAAAATAAAATAATGATTAAATTTAGCTCGAAAATAATAATATGTCAAACCGAAAGATGCTTAGAACGACGAAATATAGCATCAAAAGTATATACTAATATTCTTTTATCAATACATGCGGTTATGATACTCCACAACCAGTTAATATGTGTACAGATTGTTATAAAAATTCTTCAAAAGAAATTCAAAAATATTGTCGTAATGTTCTTTGTCCTGTATCAGAAATTGATTTACATTGTCAAAATAAATAAGAAATTTTTGTATTTAGTTATATATTTCAAAAAAAAGAATTAATTTATGTTGTTTATCAAATAGTAATTATCCAATAAGTTGACGTTGATGTAGTCTATGTCATGAAAGACGACATATTGATTCAAATCATATTTATCAAGAAACATTAATTGATATGTGGTCTTTATCATCTGATGTACAAAATCATTGTGTTGAAGCTATAATGAGTCTTTACGTTAAATAGATAATACTAAAGAAAAACATATTGTAGATTCAATAAGTAATGAAAAAAGAATCTATTTAAGTTGAAAATATTGATAATACAATAAATATGTTTTAAGTTTCGATATTAATGTTGCAAGAAAATTATTAAGTCGATATGAAATTTATTTAACTTTGGCTCTTATTGAACCAATCTCACATGAACCCCGGTATGAAAAATATTTTATTTTTATAGAAAAAAAAATTTTCGGATTTAATTCAGAAAATATTTGAATGTCTTTTAAGTATGTTATTTCTTTAGTTTCAGTTGACTGTTCGTTTACTAGGCTATAAAATTGCAAGTGTTTTAGGCAAATAAAAATTTGAAATAAAAAAACACAAAGAATTTGTTGTATTTATTTCTTCTACTATACAGTTGAATATGCAAAAGTTGGTGGTGTTTGGCAAGAGTAATCTTATTAAAAAAAATTTATTAAATATATTATTTTTAGGAAACAATGACTAATCATACAACACAAGTTATTGAATGTCTTAATAAATTATATGATTTAATACCTGATGGAATAATTACATATGAAGTAGGTTTTATATTTTTAAAAAACTGAATGTATTATTCTTGTCTGCGATAGATTTGGGACAATATAATGTCTTATTCAATGGAATCAATTCGATTAGAAGTACCAGAAAATGATTAATTTGATTGAAATTTACTCTTTCAATAATTTATTTATTTTTCTTTTAAATAGGAAATATTTGATCCAGATCTAGGTGTTTCTATCATAATTAACTCGTTATCAATTATATCATTTAATAACCGATCGTTCTCAATCTTCTGCATCTGAAAATATACAAGAACAAGCTTTACAATGGTTACAAATCTTATGTTTAATTGATATATATATTTCAATTCCGTTACTTGTCCAAATATTTAACGGATGACCCATAATGAATGGCCGCACTTTGCATTGCATATTTTAATTTCTAAATACGTCTTATTAAAAAAAAAACAGAATATACAAGCACAAGATGCAGCGTGAAAAGCTCTACAATCTACAAAGTAAAGTTTATTTCGATTGTGTACTTTTTGTTTTAAAAAAAAAAGAAAACTTCTGTGAGATCAATTTTCGCCGTTGCGCAAATTATTCGCACTATTTTGAAAATAAAAAAGTACACAATTAAAATAAACTGTTCTTTGTAAATTGTAGAGCGTTTGACGCTGCATCTTGTGCTTGTATATTTTGTTTTTTTTAATAAGATGTATTTAGAAATTAAAGTATGCCATGCAAAATGCGGCTATTCATTATGGGTCACCCATTATAACTGTTATAAATTCTTTACAAATACTTGAATCATGTATTCAGTGTCGTGAACGTCATACAATGACTGGTTCATCATCAAATGAACAATCAATTGATTTTGGTTTTAATTTAATAATGTTATCACAAGATGATGGAAATGTTCAAAATCCTTCAAGTAGTATTGCTGGTTTAACAACAGCTTTATCATCAACATCAACAAATAAATTTCTTGTTTTTCATACATATAAAACATGTCGTCATTAGTTAATGTTATAACAAATAACTCGACAAGAAATGTTTTAAATTATAAAAGACAATGAAGAAGAATTTATACTATTAATGAAAGTAAAACGAATTAAACATGTTGTATTATGATGATTGATATGACTCTTAAACAAGTAAAGTTTTTATTTTTTATTTTTCATTTAATTTATTATTTTTGTTTTTGATTAGATGGAACTTCAACAAACATCACAACATCAAGAAATGTATAATTAATTATCAAAACAATTCTTATCTTCAATGAATAAACAATTAATATTACCATGGACACGTCATCATCGTTGTCCTACATCATCGAGTCAATGCTATTATCTGAACTTGAGTTAACAAATATTAATGAACTTAAGCAAAAACAACAAACATTCATTTCATTAGCTACATCATCAAGCAAAGCAAAATGTAGTACGAAGTCTACTTATTTCCCTTCTTATCACTAGTGCTCATCGGATCAAACCCAGGCTCTATCTATCACATAGAATCTTTGTCTTTCTCTTTCAATTGTTTATATATGAGAAATAATTTTTTTTCTTTCTAGCTATTAGAATATTATCAAATGGTGATAATCTGAGTTCGTTATCATCTATATCATTAAATAATGAAGAAAAAGTTCCGACTAATGTTAATGCGACAGTTCCGATTGCAGCAACAATAACACTTGAACTTAAAATTGAAAATAATTCTAATAGTGAAATATCGATAATATCACAGGATGTTTTCTATTCTTAAATTTAATACACTTAATATTTATCATTTACAATTTTTTCCATTCTGTTCTTAAAGTAAAAAATAAAATTTTCAAATTAATATTTAATAAAAAAATTTTTGTTAGGAATTATATCAAGTTATTGATATAATTCCACTTTAGTATTTATTATGTTTTTTTTTGATAAATAATTAATTTTAAATGATCAATGTTTTGGAAACAACATCAAAAGATAATCAAAGTTTTCTTTCGTATTCTCTTGAAAAATGACTCGTTTCACAGTAAATTAATTTATTTGTTTTTTTTTTATTAAAAAAGAAAATTTTTTCAATTTAGTATTTGAAAAATTCTTGGATTAGAACATATTCATTTAAATCAATGTTGTGTATCATTACTTCTTCATGCACGTAATTATGAAGCTGAAAAAGCTGTCTTATGAAATATACTTGAATGAGATTTTTCAAGCACACATTTGAAAGTTCGTTCATCAGCTGGTAAATTTGAAAAATCAAATTTTTTAAGAATAAAGATAATTAAATAAATATTTTTCTTTTTGTTTTAGGTACACGTATCATTGAAAATAGTATACTTCTTAAAACAAATTTAATTGAAAATAATTCTAATGTTCTTTTTGTACTTGTTTATACTCTTCTTTATTTAATAATATTAATCGAAGATGTCGAACCAACTGTTAGTTAAAAAGATGTGTCTTCATTAGAAAAATAAAATAATGCATCATTTAAAAGTATTATATGTGCACTTTTATTTCAAATTGATACTCTAATAAATGATCATTCAATAATAAAAATATTTATTTGGTTATTTTTTTTCTTAATTATTTTGATAGATTATCAATTGAATTTAAAATAATTATCGAAGAATCAGTTGAATAAATAAGTCCACAATGTATCAGTGATTTTAATAGTGAAAGTGAAAATTTTATTCGAAAATTAAATCAAATAGGTTTTTATATTACAAGAACAGATTCAACTAGATCAATATCATCATCATTATATCTTTCTTAACATCAACGACAGACGACAATAACAGTTAATCTCCGACAATTAAATATTGTTAAGGAAAAAATTGAAACTAATTCTATTAAAAGTGGTACTTAATCTGATACTGAACGTAGTGATAAATCAATATTAGAATTATTTGTTAATTTACTTATGAAAGGATATATTTTAAATAAAGAAAAAACAAATTCGTTTTTTTGTTTTGTTTAGTTTATGATGAAAGATAATCAAAATCAAGTTAATGAAGATCGAATTATCCTTAAACAACAAGTGAAAAAAAAGATTTTTTTAATGATTTATTGATTTTTTTCTTTAAAGAATGTTGCTATTCGACATCTTTATTCCTTACTTAGTTATAATCAAAAAAATCGAATATTTATTTATTTACCAACCAAAATTCGGTTTGTTTTTTATTTATTTATATAAAAAAGTGTATCTTTTATTGTTTCTTTTTAGACGAACTCTAGTTTTTCATGCATTTTTATCGAATGTTTCCAAAAGTTATTGATTATAATTTAGTCTTGAAACTGTTTGTTATTTTACCATTTTTTCTTTAATTTCTTCAATATTCAACATATTAAAATATATCGATGCTATTTTATGAATATGTTTCTACATCAAATACTCTTCAACGTATTTATTCTAGTTAATGTGATTCATGTTTAATGACTCTTATTATTATTCTATATAAAATAATATATTAATTTTTCTTATAGAAATGAAATATTTTTATTTTGAAAAAAAAAAATTTTTGTATCAATATACAACATTTAGTAGAACAATCCAGTATTTAACTCGTATTGCAATGAATAAGATTCTTAGTAATTATCATAAATGTTAAACACCACTATTTAGTGTAACTGTTCGCGATCTTAGTGGAAGAATTAGACCGAAAGTAGCTGAATCCATAAGAGGTTAGATTTTAATTTTATAAATTTATTGAAAAATAAATTTTATCTAAGAATGATTACAATCTAAATCAGCGACTATTGTTCCACATAAACGTTTTAGATAATTATCACTAACTAAAAAAAAATTATTAAACTATTTTTATTTTTAATTAATTTAAAATAGATAATATAAATAATATTTTGATTAACCATTAACAATTCGACAAATAAAAGAAAATATTGTTTCAATTGGTTTATCTTATACTGGATTTTAAAAGTCTTTTTACTAGTAGAAGAACATTCGGTGGAACTATTGTTAATCTTAATCTATCAACTGTAATGACACCATCATTATCATCAACGGTTTCAATAGATAAATTAATTGAACTTGATGTTAAAAGTGTAAAAGTTAATTAATTAATTTTATTAAATTAGAAATAAAAATAAACATTTTATAGGAATGAAAGAACTTTCACCTGTTGTTTATTCAAGTGAATGGCACGCAACTTGAAACTATTTTGCTTAAACCTGGTGATAGGAGAATCAAATGTTTATTTAAAATCGAAGAATAATTAATAAATTCTATTTTTTTTTTATTTCAGAAGAAAGTTCATTAAAAACTCCTAAATTAATATCATTACTATCATCAATATTAGCTAGTATGACTGGTACAGCAACTAGTAGAAAAATAAAACCAAGTTATTATAATAAAAAAACTAAATATAAACGTGATTCAAATGTTTGATCATCAACATTAAGATTAATATAATTGTTTTTTTTTTAATATTTATTCAATCGCCCAACAGTACATCATCATCATAAAGTCATTTTAAAAATCTTGGTGTTGCATCATCAACTACTAAACGAACAACAACAACAACAACAACAACAAATAATGAATTAGACAATCGATGTGCTGATACAGATTTACATAATCAATATATATCTATACCGATATGCGATAAATGTGAACAATCTATTGGCTATTGTACATATTATTGTATGTGGTATAATTGTTCATTGCCAACCAGTTATCGCAGCACCATTACTTATGAATAGAGGTGTAAGCCGTGCGGCTGAGCCGCCGCCGCCGCCGATTAACGGGAAAAATTTTAAGCCGCCGCCGCCGTGACAGTCGAAATTTTTAAAATTTATAAGCCGCCGCCGCTGAGACACTTTAGTTCCAGCCGCCGCGCCGCCGAGAGCATTCAGAATTTTCAAATTTTTGAGCCTCCGCCGCCGACACCGTTCATAAACATCGACAACTTTTTAATCATTTTTTCCTTAATTTTGTATGGGTTAAAAGTTTCAAGTAATCATTTCACTTGTTAGTGTCTATAAAGTTATATATAAGTAAAGACCAGTATTATAAGTTTCGATTAACAAAAACAAAATCAAGCAACAGACTTGTGTGTGCTACGTCGTTCTATTTATTAACAAACTCGGCATTGGCGGGCCGGACCATAATTTTCAGGGGGGCAATAAGCACTTTTTCGCTTAAAAACGCTTGTTTTCATGGCGTTCTTCTTAAGTCCCAGCCAAAGAAATTTTTTTAGGGGGGGCAATTGCCCCCTCTCGCCCCTATGCCGGCCCGCCCATGAAACTCGGTGACGGTTTTTCATCTACTATTTATCCTGGTGGTTATATTTATTTTTCATTTATTTGTATTCTCAATGGTTGTATTATTTTTTTCACTTATTAATAATCCTAGTAATTCCGTTTTATTCAGTAGCAATTCAAATTATATTTCCTACTCAAAGTTTGATGGTTTTACTATGTATTGATGATTTTGGTAATTTTTATTTATCATTATTTTTGGTGTTGCTTTTTCAATTTTCAGAAATTTGTAGGTGCTGTTTATTGATAAATAAATAATTCTGTTTGTTTTGTTCATTTTTAGGTTCATCTTGCAGTTGAAATGACAAATATATATTGTGTAAACAAAAACTTTTTTATCGAGATGAACCTACCTAATCTACCAAAACCATCGTTCGTCTGGAATCATTTCGGTTATTTGTACAAAAAAACCGAATTAGTTAGCCGATAATTAACATGTTTATTGCAAAATTTGGTTTCACAAATTGAAAAACGATCAAGCTGATATTACTTTTTTCAATTAAAAATCTTATTGGTATTTATAGCAATATAAGTGGTACAGGAAATGTGAAAAAGCATTTAACGGTGTACGAAAACATTTTTGGACAAAGTATTTGTTCATTTTTTTCTCTTATAAAAGTATTCTAGTCGAGTGAAAAAAGAGTGATTAGGACCAGAATGATGTGGTCTTTCCAGATATAGGCTCATAAATTGTGTACCTATTGTTGCTCCAGAATAAGTAAGGAGATCTCTGAAAGGTCTAAAAACACAGTTTGGACACATCAATTATTCAAAAGTTTCTCGACAATATTTTGTTCATATTTTATTGGCTTAAGTGTTCTAGGTGAATGAAAAACTTTAGATTAGGACTAGAATTCCGTGCTCTATCCGAATATAGTCTGAGGGATTGTGTATCTGTTCTTGTCATAGAGTAGTGAGGAGGTCTTTGAATGTTCTGAAAAAGTTATGTCACTGGCAAATAAAAAAGCTTTTGTGACCTTCGTATGTTTCTTTAGAAAAGCGCTAAAAATGGTTCAACTTGCAAATGTTGTAGGACGAATAATTCTTTATAAAATGTTATGGCGAACTAAAATGTACCCTTTACGCATATAAAAATATGACTGTTTTTGCAAGAACTACATCTGTCAGAATCGAATTCTGATGAAAAAATTGATTTTTCGAAAATGCAACTGAACAACAATGTAAGTATTTTGTCAGAAAAAAATTAACTCAAATGTCATATTTTGTAGAACAAACTTTGTTCAAGCTGACATGTGAACAAAAGATTCAGCATTTAGTTTTGAATATCAGTAGCAAGCATATGAAGATGTGCGAAGAAATTTTCCGTCCAAACTGTTTTTTTTAGACTTTTGAAAGGTCTCCTCACTGCTCTCGAGCGAGAATAGGTACACCAATTCAGCCCTATATTTGGAAAGAGCACAAAATTCTGGTCCTTAGCACTAGTTGTTCACTCGACTAAAATACTTTTAGAAGAGTCAAAAATGAGCAAATATGTTGCCCAAAAACTTTCCCATAGACTGCTATAGTAGTTTTTCTAAACCTTCAGCCGCCGCCGCCGAACGACGAAGGACTTTAAGCCGCCGCCGCCGTCGGCGGTAGGAAAAAAATGACTTTCGAGCCGCCGCCGCCGTGCACCCCCAGTAATTCAAATCTGCGCCGCCGAGCTTTTGAAAAAAAATTTTTTTTTAATGGCGCCGCCGCCGGTCAGCTCATCGGCTTACACCTCTACTTATGAATATTATTGAAACAATTGAAAGATTTGTTGAATATCATATATATATATATATATACATGGCAAGAAAATTCAATGGTTGTTGCCCGAGCTAATTCGCGAAGTATTGTCCAAAAATTTGTTTGTTGTATATTTCAATAGTTAGCTGTAAATTATGTATCTTATCAATTTTTTTAAGAAAATTTTCTAGATTTATTTTCTATAGAAATAAAATATTAAATGAAGAAACTTTTTTTTTTAAGATGATTAATTATTACATAGAATTGCTTTATCATTAAACGATTTTCCGAAGTTTAAATCAATAATTGCATTTAAATGGCTTCTTAATGTAATTTGATTTTTTTTTCGAAATAAAATAAAAAAAATTATTTTTTGATAGGATATGAATAAACATATAAGTATTTCACATGATATTTGTAGAAAATTACTTAGTAATATCGTAGAATTTATGAAATATATTCAAATTGATTTATCTATTCAATTATGGATAAGTTTTTATTTGAAAAATTAACACGAGTTTATGCAGCTATTAAATCTAATATACCAATTAATTAGAATTTAACGCCAATACTTCGTATTATGTTGAATATACTTAACATACAATATGTAGTAAATGTACGAATTGTTCTTGATCGATTTTCAATATTATTAACATTTATTTTACAAAATGGAACGTTTTAATTCGAACATATTATTGAATTATGTTCCTTGAGTAATCGAATATTTACGCGGGCAAAAAAAGATAATTGTTTTTTTTTTCAGAATTTTAAAGTTTACATTAATAAGATCGAGAAAAAGTTTTATTATCAGTATGTATTGTTAATATTATTGTTGAAGCTCTGCTTCATCGGTATCTTTTAATGATTTAAATAAATATCTACTTGTTTTTTTTTGTTTAAATCAATATTAATATCTATTTAGTTAATTTTACTTGATGTTGGTGGTACAATTTAGGCATCGGCAATTGTTAGCGATGATTTTCTTGCATATCATCCTCATAATCGTGTGCGTTTCTGATCCCAGTGCTGTGATGTTGTTTTTACTTATTTATAAAAAAAATAGAATTTTTGTACAAAACAGTTGCATTTATTGCTGATATTCTTACAATAACAAAAATAAAAATTAGAAAGAACTAAAACAAAAAAAATTTATTTTTATTTAAATAGAGTATAATGAAAGAAAAAAGTGAAAAACAACAATTATCTAATATAACAGAAGATACATTAGGTGGACAATTGAAATTTGGTCTTGCAAAATATCTTGCTTTAGAATTTACTGTAGGTAGACACACAGATTCAAAATCAATTGTTCGTTTTCTTCGATGGCTTTATAATCCATCGACTTCTGTTCAAAAAAGGGTTTGCATTTATTTGTTATTCTTCAACTTTTTTAAATAATATTTTGTTGTTTTATTTTTAGAGTAAAACATTTTGTTGATTGTATTGATTGTATTGATCGCATAAGATTTCTTTCACGGTTAATGATCGGTTCGTTAAAACATGCAGCTATAACACGCAATAAAGGTAGAATAATATGTCATCGAATATCTGTTGTTGCAAGTCAATTAATAACTGATTATATTTTATATATTTCAACTAGTTTTGCTAATCAATCAAAAACATCAGTTATTCATTTGTCTTTATTATTTCATTCATTTATTCTTTGTCAAGTATGAATATTAAATTAATTTGATTTTTCGAACGTTTTTTTGGTTTTTGTATAATAAAGTTATGGACAATGTATTGTGAACAAGTTAATTATGGATATGATCGTGAATCATTTGTTGAAATTATGAATTTTTGGACGAGGATTAGATCGGATATACTTCGTTTATTATCATATTCAAAAGTGATATGTATAGATTTATTCTGTATTTTGTTAATAAAAAAAATCATTTAATAACGAAAAAAAATCAATTATAAATTTCAGGACAAAGAAACTTCTAACAAACGTTTTGAGGTATTTGTTGATGTTATGCAAATCCACATGTATTTATTTATTAAGTTTTATTTATATTTACTGTCATTTGTTTTTTTTTTCTTTATTTTGATAAAATTACTATTTCTTATTTATTTTTCAGCTTGCAGAAATAGTTAATTTACGTTTCTTAAGTTTAATTTAAGTTTTAGACGAAATAAATTCAATTGTTATTATCTAATATATGTTATCTTAATAATTTAAATAAAATAATTTTTTTATTTTCAATATTTATTTTCTATGTGGATATCTGTTTTATATTTACATTAAAGTTAATAACCAGCACATGTTCAAGTTCCTCTTCAAACATGTTTAAATCATCAACCATCATCAGAAACATAGGGTGATTTACGATTTATGTATTGTATATATTTAAAGAAAAACATGTTTTGTTTATCAAAAAAAATATTCTTTTAGCTATTTTAACTAAATGGCTTAATCGTTTACAATTTACAATCGGACAAATTGAAACTGAGACAAGTTATACTACACAGTTTTATAGCTTATAATATAATATATGTATTTGTATAATTTTATCAATAAATTTCAATAGAGTCATTTCTTGTATGAAAATTTTATTGTTCGTTTGTTCTTTTTTTATGTTGATATGCGATGTACAAATGATTGTTTCAAGTCTTAGTTGTCGTTATTGGAGTGTAGTTTTTGCTTAAGGAAATGACATGATATTTTTTTTATTCGATACAAATCGATCTATATTCGATTTCACTCTTATTGAAATTGGTTTACAACTTGAACAATTTAATCGTTTTTATTTATCATTTAATTAAACAGCAACTTATATATTAAAACGTGTTCATATGATTGATACCATAGAATAATTAAAGAATTATTCCAACAAACAAACGATCACGTTCAAGAATATGTACCGGAAGGTGTTGAATTGAAAATAAAAGTATTTTTTATAACTTGATGAAATCGTTCCATTAAATGCTTTAATTGCAAGTTCATCATTATGTATTATGCCCTCAAAATTTACTGAACAAATGAAAACAAGAAATCGTTGTATTGTTGCGTAAGCTACTGAAATACAATTCAAAAAAGATTTTCCTTATTAATATGTTACCTCGACATCCAATAAATTCACCAACAATAATTCCATTTGTTGAAATAGTTGGTGCATCATGAACAGATAAAAATTTTGTTGATCTAGCTATTGAACGATATCGTTCAATAAATATGAAATATATTATCGACTTAAAAAAAGAAGACGATGGCTTTGTTCCTAATCGTCTTCAATATGCTATTTTTACAACAGCTCTTCAATTAGTTCACGATAGAGTTGCTGAACCTGAAGATATTGATCGAGCAATGACACATAGATTAGCATGTCTATGATCATTTATGGGACTATTTCAAACAATTGGTTTTGATGTATCAAAAGCGATTATGGATTGTAATGTATTCGAAAAAAATTCAATTAATCTATTTTTTCTATTTAAATAAAAAGATTTTGATCTATATGGTTCAACAATGCAACGTGTTTTAACTGATAGGAATTTTCTATCAGATTGGACACGAGAAACTATTGAAAAAGTTGATAATTATTTTCGTTCAAAATATTCAGTCGGTGAAAATGGAAGTAGAATAAATGATAAAAAATTATGGAGTGATGAATATTTATTACATTTAACTAAATATAAATGAAAATATGTTGATCGTGATTATTGTATAGTGTGAGACTAGAAAAGCATGTATATTTTTGTATTTTCGCATGTATAAAAATAATAAACAAAAAGTTATTTATTAGTAGTTATATCACCATTATTATCAATTACTGTTTGCAATAGTTTTGCATATTCAACAATGTGATTTCTGCAATATTTTTGTATTTTATCTGATTTTCATATTTGTGAAATTATTTTCCTTATACATACATTAATTGCATGATCGACTTTTTTCTGTTTGAAAATGATTGATGAATTACACCATTTGACCTGCTTCTTTTATTATCATATAATATACTTATTTTGAATAGTAAATCTTTTCGATGTCACTAAAACTTACAAGTTCATCTATCGACATTTGTCTTCTTCGATAATTTCGTATAGTTAGCTTTCTATCCTGAGTTTTCAGTTTGCATACCTCTTATCATTATTTTCATTCGTTTGATAGACTTTTTGTGTAATTCGACATTTTGATGAACTAAAATAATATAGGAATTGATTGTGACTTTATAGTTTTGAATCAAGATGAAAATTTCAAAAAATCTGAAGACCCCCTCAAAATCCGATCTCAGTTCAGAGACATTGAAGTCTGCATGAAATTTGTAGTATATGTTCGGGCTGTAGTGGAGATGTTGTGGTAAAATTTTCAGCCCTACACCATGATGTTTGGGTGAAATTTACCCAAAACATGGGTTAAAAAATAGCTCATCTGAGCTCCCAAAATTCTCTGTTGAGGCTCATTCTATATATTTAATTTTTTTTTTGTTGGAATGAGCATATCAGGATGCAGTGAAAAGATATGACAAGTTTAATTACTCGAAAAACACTCAAAAAATGCCACTTCAATTTTAAAACTGGTTTTCAATATAGTAATAATAAAGGCTTTTTCAAAGTGAAATACAAAAAAAAGAAAAAAATACAATGTAACTGTAAATATTCGGATAACTGAAAAATATTTAACAAGCGATTTTTAATGTTTTCATTCAAATTTCTTTTTTTGAATAGTTTTTCAAGATAAAAAGTATAATTACGTAGAGAGATATAGTCAATCATCGATCATCTGTCGAATATTGCTGATATAGTTCCGAAGAAGAAAAACATTCACGTTATAAAATTGTTAAATGAAAATGAAATAGAAAATATAAAAAGAATGAATGTTATAAGGTAATCAATCAGAAAAATGATGAAATCTTTTCTTAATAATTTTATACGTACATTTAGATGAAATTTCTTTAACTCGTATCGATAAAAATCAGATCTATAAATTAATTATTACAGTGGCTAACAATACAAATGAAACACCAACGAAAGATTTAATAACAACAATATATATGTATGTCTTTACTGTTTTCACGAATTTACGTTATTTAAATTTCTGTTCATTTTCATATATAAATCCTCATTACTTATCATTCGATAGAAAATCTTCAAATTTTTTTTTCTTCAACTCTAACAAAATTATATGTTAATTTGGAAAATTTCGAAGATTGTCTTTGTCTACTTAATGATCATTTCAATCAACTTCGTACATTCTATGTTACTATTTGTTTCATTCGTCGTTCGTTTATGGTGATCAATAATGAAGTAAGTTAATCTACAAAGACATGACAGTTAGTATCAAAATAAATATTTGCTTATGATAATGACAATATAAGTATTGTTCTGTCTTTATTTAGGAGGAACTTCCTAATTTAAGGTGTTTTTATTTGACATGTGATAATGGTACTTTTTATTATATGGATTTAATTGTACCGCTCCTACATCGAATGTTAAATCTAGACGAGTTCACATTATATCTCGTTCTCAACAGCACTGAAATATTCATTGATGGGGATAATTTGACGAAAAATATTATTAATCATCTATCACGATTAAACAAATTTGTATTTAATATTCGATCAGTTATATATGCTCTTTATGAATCTTGTTTACCACTAAAAGAACAAATTCAGCAAACATTTATAAATTTCATAAATAAACCAATTATTACTTGCATTGATTATTTTCCAAAAAACAAAAAAGGTCACTGTCATATGTATTCATATCCATATACAATGACATATTACAGAAACATAACAAATAATTTTCCAGATGGATTGTTTAAATATGTTCGTGAAATATCATTATTTGATGAACGTCCATTTGAACATAAATTTTTCATTCGAATTGCTTCAGCTTTTCCATATCTTAAAATATTATCTGTAAATAATTGGACAGCTCAAAAATATAAACAGTGTCAAAAATCAAAGGATGACAATCAAGATTTCTCAATCGTTAATTATTATATCGAACAACATCTCATTTTCTGTCAATTATCCTCTTCTACGACAAGCAACACATAATTTCACACGAAGTGAAATGCGAATCAATTGTTCTAAATTGAGTGATATACATATTCTTGGGAAATTTTATAATTCTGAACATTTGAAAGCCTATTTTCCGAATATAAAAACACTATGATTGTTCTCTTATTATCGAAATAAAATAAGTAAAAAAGGTGATTAATATATTTTGAATTCATATATTTTAGAGAGGAAAAAGAAAGTAAAGTATAAACGAGGCATTTGACCGATTGACTCATTGATATTTTGTTGGACAACAAAGAATCTTTGTAAGTCATAACACAATCTAATGTACTAAAAAAATACAATCCATAGAAGAGCTAAAGAAAAGTTGGTTAACAAAAAAGTAATACGTAGCGATCAATCTAATCTTTTTTCTATAAAAAGATCTCAAATATTTTTGTAATTGAAAACTTGATAGCACGTTTCGAACTCAACAAACAATGGGTTTAACTAAAAATGTTGTAAACAGAAGAAATTGTTTATTTACATAATTAATGATAGACATCATTTTCTATTTTCTCTTGGAAAGAGATATGAGCATATTTCAATATTAAAATAAACACTAGTGACTATTCCTATATCAAAGATGGCCGCGTCAAGCTATTTTTACCGTTTGTTGCTCTTTTCTTGTTTATAGAGAACGTCAACAAGGTTTTCAATACATGAGATGTAGCTTCTAGTTTTTAAGCGCAAAAAACACAATAGATTACATATTAAAAAACCATACTAGGCCTATTCCATGATGTTTCTCCCCAAAACAACACAACTATCTTTAAATTGATCGAATGTGCCCCTATCTTGTAGAACTCGATGAGTTACGGTTATGGTAAAAAAACCAGCTTAGACGAATGTTCCTTTGGAGAGATACATGAGTCACAAGTTTAGCTGCAAAATCGAAAAATTCTTAAAAAACGAAAAAATTGAGGGTGTGGGTGTGGGTGTGGGTGGGTGTGGGCGTGGGTGGCTGGGTGTGGGTGTGGGTGTGCATGTTTGTGCTAATGTCTGTGACTATGGGTATGAGTGTTCGGTTTCTTTCTGCACACACACATGCAGACACTCACCCCACACTAGGCTTACAGTGAGTTGCGCGCAAAAAATTCAATAGTGCTGAATAAGACACTTTAATATGCTTTGTTAATTAAAAATTCCTACAAACTGAATGTTGCTTTGTTGTTGCATGAAACCTTTATAATTTCACCCATCCGAATATTGACTGAAAACTAAGAATCCATTTAAACGTCGATGAGCTCTGGTTTTGTTGGAAAAATCGAATTTATTTCTCATATAAATAGTGAGAAAGAGAAAAAAATAATTATGTTTTATCCAGCGCAAATAACCCGCCGGTCACTTTTGTTTTTCATTTGACGGCGATCGCAATCTTCTGCAAAGTGAAGAGACGAAGGTGAGTGTTCTAAACGTGGAAAGATGTTATATATTTTATTGCTAGAATGATTTTCTGCCCGCCTGCATGTATTTGGTCACTTGATCTACTCCCCTTTGTTGCATCAAAAACTAGTCTTCCGGGAGGCAGATCCTTTCAGAACCTATATCCTTGCAAAGATCTGACAAAGGAATATTTTGAACTGTTCAGTCGCTTTTTAGATGAAACCTACTGGGTTTTACACTATCGACTGTGCCGATTTCGAATGTGAACATGAAAAACGCTGTTAAACCTTCTCTTCAGAGTTATGAGTATACCACTACAATTTTAGCCGATGGTGCGTTACATACCAAAAAATCGAATGACAATATTTCGGCCTGAGATTTTGCCTACGAATGAGCCCACTTGTGACCAAAATATCTTGAAAATTTCAGCTACAAGAATCTTACCTTTCTTTCACCTTAAAATCCAGAAAAAGGAGAACATTCTGGGTTTCGTGTGAGATATTATTTAGTTTTCGGTTTATAAGATCTCGGGAAGAAAAAGTTTTCCAGTTGAAATTTTGAGGATATTTTGCTCACCAGTGTCCCTGTTCTTGAGGACGATTTCATCTCGAAATACTCTCATTCGATTGGCTGGTATAAATTCGGCCATACGCTAAAATTGCAGTAAAATGCCCAGAGCTCTAAAAAGAAGCCTTAAGAGCGTTTATAGTGCACACATGTGCAATCAGCATAGTCAATAACCTTACACCTGTAGGATTCATTATAAAAGCTATCAGGCAGTTGAAAATGTTCTCTCGTGATTATGCAGAGAAAACATGACTCTATTGTAACGATAAGATATGATATCGTGTATTCAACTGCCTTTATTTCAATCTATCCATTCCTTTTATATTTCTCTTTCCTTTTCACGCGAGTCAATCAACCGTGGCGGAATGAAGAGAAGCAGCGAGAGAAATAAAGAGACACAGAGAGAGAAAAGAAAGAGAGAGAGAACACACGGGAGAGACAAGATATACATACAGGGATAATTATGCACACAGTTGTTCACTGAGATAGAACAAGTGCCTATCTCGGCACATCTATGTCGACAGTCGAATGATTTATGAATTGACTACAACTGTATTAGACAGGATCTTATTGATCCGTTTCAAATCTTTCGAGAACGGTGGTTTGTTCTCCAAGCGTATGCCAGCTATTTGTTCCACAACCTTGAAGGAACGCAATCGGTCGCATTCGGCAGCCTAGTAATAGTAGATGACAGAAAGGTTACGATATACTCTTTAGCGGCGAGCAGAAAAGGCCTTATTTATGGGTGTGGGTGTACCTGTGGAGTATGCGCGTGCCTGCCGGTGTCAATGTTGTTTATTACTTGATGATCAGCCACGCCGGCAAACTTACACCGACACCCACACCCACCCACACCCACACCCACCCAACCCACACCCACACCCCCCACCCCCACCCACACCCAATTTTTGAACATATTAATTAAACTGATCTTGTTTATCTTGAAAAAAAAAAGCTTTTTCAATGCGTTCAAATATGAGTTTTTAAGCGTCAAAGCGTCCACTTTTTGTTTCTTGCTTGTCTGAGTAAAGGAAAAATAACAAATCATCGAATTTTATCCTATATTTCCTGGCTTATATTTTGCGTTCTTTCGAACGATATAATTTTTATTATGTTCGCATCCCTAGTGAAACATCTTGTAAGCAAGATCTTGAAATCTTGGGACCGATAACCAAGATCTTGATCAGATCTTAGAAAGATAATTTGCATATGCAGATCTTGGTTATATCAGATAAATCTGTGCTTAAGATCTTGTTAAGATCACGAAAAATATATCGTTCACTTTTATCTTATCACAAGATCTTGAATACAGCAAAAAGCGACATCATTAGTTTATTGGTTACATGCTGACTAGTCATTCACCGTTTTTTTTATGCATATAGAGCCGTATATAAACAACTTGATTGAACATACGAAACGTACATTTTCAAAATATTTTTTTTTCTCAACTCTTTCTCGACTATTAATCATTCGAGAAAATGCTGATCTCGATCAATGATCGAGAGCAGACTACTCTGAAGTAGTGTGATGGAGATCGAGCCATCTCTAGATCAGGCAGGTTCCAAGATCTGACTTGCTTTAGTTATTCGGAATAGGAATAATTAAAACGAAATACATTGAAAAAAAAATGTCATAACATGATTTTACAGAAAAAAAAATAGTAAGTGCTCTATATGATAGATTCGAACCACGCTTTCAGAATCTGTCATGTATTGTGTCGCAAATCACGACACACGCAACACGTATAATCTCAGTGTATACCCAAGATCTTATGGATCCATATCTAAGGTCTTCTGAATCTGTGTCCAAGATCTTAAATGTCTGTACCTAAGATCTAATTCAAGATCTTGGTGCAAGATAATCATATTATCTTGTACCTAAATTTCCAAGATCTGTTTACATTTCTGTACCTAAGATCTTGGCCAAGATCTTGCTTACAAGATGTTCGACTAGGTATCAGATTAGAAATTTCGAGAGGGTTGATACGTGCGATAAAATCTGTCTTTCATTTTGTTCAATTATCTTATCCAAAATTGATTTATAACAACATCATCTCACTGTATGATTATGAAAATGAAATACAGCAGATTAATATTCATAATTTTTTATACAATATTTTTCTCATCAAAAATTAGACGTTTCATCTGTGTATAAGAAAGGAAATAGGACAGTGATATTATTTTTTTCTGTTTTCTGAATTGATTTTGAGTATACGTCAAATTATGGTTTTATATATTTCTTTTAGCATAACAAAATATGTTTGAAATAATTTATTTTCAGTAATATAGAATGTTGTTAAATATTCACTCAATCCAATAGATCAAAAATAATACAATAAAAAAACAATCAGAATAACTTGTGCCCATATGTGACGAACTGTGAGAGTGACTGCATCGATGCCTTTTCGACATGATGGTTTCTGATATTATCTGCACACTCACAACTATGTTTTTTCTTTATTAAACACAACTCATATAAGAAAAAGAGTGGTCACATAAGTGAAGCACAACAGCCAATAATCGTTACACCATATTTATCATATTACATGCTCTTTCTATTACTAAGAGGCAAAAGTTTTAAGCAGAATTAAAATTTTTCTTCTTCCTTTGAGACGGTGACAACGATACTACGTTCTCCTTTTTTTCTCGTCAGCTTCACATTATGTTAGTGTTGTTGTCGCGAGAACCAATACAATAATGAAAAATAAAAGAACAGAAAAAAAAAGAAACAGCAGAACGAGCATATATTGTAAGTAAACACGCTTATTACTAACTTTTTCTTTTCAATACCTTTCTTTTTCAAATTCACTCTGTTACCAATAAGAAGAAACTGGGAAAAAACCAAGCAGAATACAAAGAATTTCACAAAAAAAAATATTGGGCATACAGACAATCAGGAGGTAAAGTTTTTGAGAACATGTGTTAACAAATCGAGCTTATAAATACTTTTTTGTCTGTAAAACACATCCCTTCACTGTTTTATTCTATATATTTTAAACGGAAGTATTTATACAAAACACACAGTCAAATATGATATCAAAAAGTGGAAATACAAAGATAAGATTATTAGAAGAATTGATATTGCATTCAATTCTTAAGCTTAAGAATATTATTTTGTATAATCTTGACACACTGTATTCATTAAACATACTATGTAACATCTTTAGTTCTATTTAGTAGTTATCGTTAATGCATACAGTTTTTCATTTTAGCTGCGGTCAACTTTTGAAATTTCGATTTAGTTACAGTGGTGTGTGAAGACAGTTTGTACGATAATTATTTTCATGTCTGACTCGTTTAAGTTGGTCATTTGTATTACATCCACTGCACTCTTCGATTGTAGTGAATCTCACAACATATGGAAACAAAAAGGACTTGAAGCGTATCAAAAATATCAACGTGATCATGTCACAGAACCTTTGAAACCTGGTGTTGGATTTCGGCTAGTTCAATCTTTGTTAAACTTGAATCACAGCGCCGGCAAAGAATTGGTCGATGTGGTTCTTATGTCGCGTAATGATAGCGTAGCAGGAAAGCAAGTTCGAAACTCCATCAGCCACTATAATCTTGGTATTACACGCATGTCATTCACTAGTGGTACAGATGTTACTAGATATTTACAAGCTTGGGGATGCGATCTCTTTCTCACTACAGAAGAAGAACAAGTTCGTACAGTATTGTCTGCTAATGCACCGACCATGTTTAAAGGAATAGCAGCTGCTTTAGTATGCAACATTAGTGCTGAAAAAGTCGATCTTCAGTCTGATGGTTCATTGTAAGTTCATCTATCTCTTAAGTCTTCACAAATTATTTTGATGTTTTCTATGAGTTTCATGCCATTTGCAAAGATATCTTTCAATTAATAGATGATCGTATAAACAGAACTTAAAATTAATCGATAGCTTTGATTTCGAATGAATTGAATGATTCAATTCCATAGACTCTAAAATAAGCCGTTATACAAAATTGTAAAAATATTCTAAATTGAAATGCCAAGATATACTTCTTATTGTATTTGTCTTCGTTATGTCAATTAATTCCTGTTGGCACATTAGCTGCACTAGTCTAATTAGTTCTATCAGCTAATAATTGAATGAGATCTTTGCGATTATTATAGAAACTCATGGAAAACTTCATATGCACAATCATTCTTTATTTTTCACGCTATGATTAGATCTACTGTGGTCAAGACAATGGATGTTCGTCATGAGACAATGACTCTTAATATCTCGCAATGGCCAAAGGATCAAGTTCGTATTGTTTTTGATGGAGACGGCGTACTCTTTTCGGATGAAGCAGAACGTGTTTATAAAAATCATGGATTGGAGGCCTTTCGACAGTCTGAGCATGAAAAACAGCATATTGCATTGCCAGAAGGTCCAATGCATGCATTTGCTCTCAAATTACAAAAGTTACGTGAAGCATTAGGTGAAGATAACAAATGGAGAGTGCGTACTTTTCTTGTCACTGCTCGCAATGGTGTAGCTAATGAACGAGCATTCAGAACGTTAGAGCAATGGGGTCTCGACATCGATGAAACGCATTTCTTAGGTGGACTAAATAAGACACCTTTTCTGGTCGCCATGGATCCAGTAATCTATTTCGACGATACAAGTGACCATATCAATCGAGCTAAACAGTATGTTCCAGCTGCGCACATTATCTATGGCATTCGAAATGTGATATCTGATAACAACACTACTGCATTCGAAACAACATTGTCTATTTCAAACGAAGAACCAAAAAATACAGATACCTTGAAGCAAACATTGATATATGAGGATGATTTATCAAAAACAACCTAAGAAAAAGAGGTGCTACTTAATACGATAGTATCTTGTCACATGAAGCCACGCATGGATTCACAGTGTAGGATTTGATGAAACATACAAAACATGAAAATAAAAACATGAGTTTCATTATATGCTTGTTATACTTTTTATTCAATTTCTTTGATTACATCTGCAGGATACGAACACGATCATTTGTCCAATAAAGATGAACATTGACTTGCTATGGAAATTGACACTTGCTTGTATCAACTTTAAGTTCAAATTCCTTTCGAGTTCGTTCATTTTGAGTCGTATTATCTCTTCATCACAATCAATGAACAATTGCAATATATCATTTTTTTCTATGTCACATCTATATCCATTAAATCCTGATTGCTTCAAACCATTAACATGAACACAATCGCCACCACTACAGCCCTGCAGGTTGCAGGTTATGTATGTCGTAACCTGTCAACCTGCGACAAATTTTGTATATCAAATATTGTCAACATCTTTTCTAAAGTTATACACAAAGAAAAGAATAGAAATAAGATGATAACCAAATTAAACCGTTTACAAAAATATTTAAGAGAAATAGAAGTTTGTCCATGGACGTACGAATCCAAACAATTTCATGACCCTTGGGAATTTTATATCAAAAACACGAAAAAAGAGGCAGTTTGACTGGTGAAACGGACATAAAAATTGATGTATTTGAGGTTCGTTACTTAAAAGGAACATTTGAATAAAGCAAATGTAATAAATTTGTTTTTTAAAATTATGGAATTATATTAATGAAAGTTTCACTTTTACTCAATGAATTTGAAAGAACATCTATTTTTATGTTCGTTCCGTCATTCTCATAAGATTCTTGATTTTTCTTGTTCCAGGTTCGCAAAACTATTCTTTATACATGTAGCTACTCAAATGTACGTTAATTTTGCTAATTTTGAGTTGTACCTTATGCTTTTCCACATTTTCATCATCGACTAATCTCTCAAATATCATCAACCAATTATTCAAATTTTCATGCTTGTAAAATATCATTCGTATCACATTCAGAAAAAGATGGCGAACGAAAAAAGAAGATAATCATTTACTTCAGATGGTGTTATTGATAATTTGATGATTAGAAATTTTCAGGATATGTAGCATTGCTATTTTTGGCTTACTTCTGAAATAAAAGCGACGAAATTGCATATAAAATGAACATGAAAGTTTCGATCTTTCTATAGTGTCAGACAAAGTAGGGCAGGACAGGATACGAGAAAACATTCACAGGGCAGGGTAGGTTACAGGTTGTCAAAATACTTTAACCTGCAGGTCTCTAATTCCAACTTCAGAGTAAAATAAACAGGGTGAGTGTGGGTGTGGGTGTGG